GGTTTAGACAAGAATTAGTGTAATACAGACAAGATTTTTGTGGAAGGGGCTGGGAACAGAACCAAGGTTTCTTCCTTTTCTCTTTGCTCTATATAAAGAACTCATATGTATGGGTTATAATTGCTGTGTGGTGAGAGGATGCCAAATTATATAACGCCTCTACCAACATTCCTGTTTTCTAACCTCTGGAGTTCCTCTTCTGGGAATAAACCAAAAAAACCTCACAGCTTGATGACATTTACACCTTTACCATTCTTTCATGAAATGGTAACATACATCTGCAGACCAGCTTAGGCTTTTATATATCTGATCAGTGTCAACGGGTGGATTTGAATGTGCAGAATGCCTGCAGCAACAAAAATAGATCCATATTTATTCCTGTCATAACTTCACTTAAGTTAATGGAGTTGTGCCGAGGCTGGATATGCCTACAGTCTATAGGACAGCTGGCCTTCCGGCAGGCCTTGTTCAACAAAATGCTTCTGTAAGAGCAATTAAGTTCTCTGATAATCACAATATATGGTGATGTTTTGGGAATATTTTTGTAGAATGAAAATGATTAACGTGAAGATTTCAGATACATCTGTAATGCCCAAAAGACAAAGGAAGCTCTGGTAAAGGTATTTTCAAGAATGGAGTGAGTGTCATTCCGTCAGTGGTTCAGAATCACCAAACCAGTTAACAACGTGCTCTAATTGCAATAATAATGTACATATTTTATAGCATTTTTCTCCCTCCACATCCCCCCAGTGAGGGAACGGGTGGATGCTTGCTGGACCTCGGGCAGATAATGGATATTGTTGTGATTATTCAGGCAAAAGTTTTCATCAATTTACAGCTGCAAGGGAATGTTCCCCTAGTTAATGGTTCATCTGACATTTCCAGCAGGAAAGAGTGAAGCTCTTGTATTTTGCCTGCTTTTTAATACTACTTCAATCATTGTAAAGTTGAGATACTGAAACGGGGTGATCCAGAACAGGGGAAGGAAAAGCTGGCCGGGCTTTTCAAGGAGAAAGAAGATAGGCTTCCAGATGTCACTGACTCTCAGAGAAAAGTATTTTCTTTTAAAATTCCTAGCCTTAAAAACAGGTAAAAGAATTATTGGGAGAAAAATAATAATCATTAGCCACTTCCAAAGATGGATCAAATTGATCTTTCCAAATTTAGCCAGCATCGTTCTTCGCTGTGGTGGCAGGGCTGCAAACCAAGAAACAAAAAAGTCAGTTTCCTGTCTGTGGAACATTCAATCATTGGATTTGATGGTCATTCAAGTAGCAGTGAAAGGAATCATTTTCTTTTGCTCAAATTAACTCTGTATCTGTTGTGGTATACTGTGACCTAGCCAACCCTGAACAAAACTGGCAAGTTCTTGTGCACCTGGGAATGGCGGCCTGAACCTAGTCAAGTATAGAAGTGCCTTAATATCTAATTAGAATTATAGAATCATGAAGGTTGGAAAAGACCTCTAAGATCCCCAGGTCCAATCCCAGCTCACCCCTCCATGCCCACTGCCCACGTCCCTCAGTGCTCTGGAACATCTCCCCATGGCTCTGGAACATCTCCAAGCACCATGACCCAGCACTCCCAGAGCAGCCTGTGTCACTGCCTCAGTACTCTTCCTGAGAAGAAACTGTTCCTAATATCTGACCTGACCCTCCTTTGGTGCAACTTAAGGCCATTACCACTCATCCTATCAAATGAGTAAAACATGCATTTTGACTTAAATTTCCAGTCCTCCCCTCTTAACCCTGGCTGAATCATTTGAGATGACATCCCAGGAGGAGTCAGCGCGCGTGATCCTAATCCTGCTGCCTAATCCTGGAGACACCTACAGCCATGAAACAGCACGGGCTTTGATCTGGGGAAGGCTGGGCTTCAAAAACGTGATGTTGTGCATGGAAAGCTTCCTGGATGTCAGGTGTCCGAGAGCTGAGGAGCGCGCCTGGGAAGGATGGGCGCGGCCCGGGGCGGTGTGCGCGCCCCGATCCCGTCCTGCGTCCATGCGGCGCAGGGGAGCCCCGCTGTAACGAGATCGGATTACTCAGCGCCTGTTCCAGTTCCTGTTGACCCCGGCGATGGGAGTTTTCCTGAGTAAAACCCGAACCATGAGTCACCCTCAGGTGTTTTTGTTTGAAAGCGCTTTTTTTTTTGAAAAAAAACGCCGGCAGCGGCTGGCTGGGGGCCGTCAGTGGGCCGGGCCCATGAGGCGGACGTCCCTCCCTCGCTCCGGCCGCAGCGCGGGAGCCAATGGGGCGGCGCGGCCCGGCCCGGCCCGGCCCGGCTCGGCTCGGCTCAGCTCGGCTCGGCTCGGCTCCGCTCCCCGCGAGGCGGGCACGGCGCTCGGCGGCGCGCACGGTGCACGGCGGCTCCGCGCCTCTCGGGGCGGGCGCTGCGATGGGGGGGCGGCCGCGCTCCCTCCCCACTCTCTGACAGCTGGGTTTTCTTGCGCCGAGGGGATCCGGGGGAGGGTGGGTTTGCGTTTTGATCTCGTTCCTCCTCCTGCTCCGGCATCGCCGTCCTGCCCGCAGCATTAGGACTTAAGGAGCTTGATTCGCCGAGGTTCGCGTCCGAGGGTGTCGGTGCTGAGCACGCTGAGCTACATCTGCTTCTTGGCTAAGGCTGAAGAAAGACGTCTTAAGCTGGCAATCCCGTGCGGGCGGCAGCAGGTGCCCGAGTGGCGCGGGCTGGGCGGTGCACGGAGATGATGGAGTGAAAGTCCCTGCTTGCAGGAGAGGATTCCGCGGAGGAAAGGAGCGAGCTGACAGCAGAAGAAGGGGAGAGGAGCAGCAGGTGGAAGGCTGGCGCAGAGCCGGAAGGTACCGGAGGCTGACCGCTTCCTTCGGCCGTCCCCGAGATAAGCCCCGCTGCGTTCGCCCGGCGGCTTTCCCAACTCGTCCTTCCCTCCCTCCCCGCCCGCCGGCTGCCGTGCTGCCGTTGGCGGAAAGGCCAGGGCAGCAGGAGGAGAAGATGCCAGCCATCCTGGTGGCCTCCAAGATGAAGTCGGGACTGCCCAAACCTGTGCACAGCGCCGCACCCATCCTGCACGTCCCGGCGGCCAGGGCCATCCCGCAGCCCTGCTACCTGAAGTTCGGCAGCAGGGTGGAGGTTACGAAGCCGTCCTACTCCAGCCAGATCCCCCTCAAGTCCCCCAGTGGGCAGGAGAGCGCCGGGGATGGACCGTCGCCGAGGAAGGGCAGCTCGGTGGAAAGCGCGTTTGACACTCAGGTAAGAAAGCGCCCGATGCTGGGGAGGTGCAGACGAGGGTTTGTTCCTATTGCATGTGTGCCGCGGGGTTTGTGGGGTTCGGTAACACACCGCGTGGGATGTTCTGCATTTCCCATCGCTATACCTTTGGCCGTAGGATGGCTCCGGGGCAGTGTTAGCGCAGCAGGGTGGTGCTGGGATGTGCCCAGCCTGCGGGACTCGGGGCAGGTAGAGGTGTTGCTGCTGGGGTCTTCTTTGTGCACCTTTGGTGGTGGCTGCTGGTTGCTGTGAGCGTGTGCCAGAGCTGCTGCTGAGAGCCATCAGCGCTCGGCATGGAAGGGAGGCAGTGCTGTGTGCACGGTGTGTGCCATTCACAGTGCAGCTGGGTGAAACGGCTTCCAGAGGAAGGGCTGTGCAGATGGGATTGCCTGCTTTATCACTATATGTGCGTGACATCATGGATGCAGCACGTTACCAATACGCAGTTTTCAGAAGACCTGTGCACATGGCAGTGCAACCTATTGTCTTTAGACACACTGCTTCCTGCACAGGGAGAGAAGCGTACGCTCCTCAGCCCGTTCCGTTATCAGCACAGCAACGCCTCCAGCATGTCTCAGGCTGCCCGGCTGCAGAGTGTGTGCTCTCATGCCACGGCGTGAGCAGAGAACTGTCTCTGCATCAGGCAGGATCAATCAGTGCTGTGCAGATTGCTGTGCAGCAGTGCGATGGATTTTGGAACCAGCCATGTACATTACAAGCTTCCCTTGCGGGCATCTCAACCCGGGAAGAGGTGATACCGTTATAATGTGATGGGGAAATGATGGTGGATCACAAGAATAGTGAGTCATCCCTGCCATCTGCATTTTGAAGTCTGTGGCCCGGTAACCCCATTCTCTTAGGGAAGTGTGACTGCCGGTGAGGCATTTGGCCTGCTGCCCTGGATTCTAGGATGTGCTGCACTTTCTCTAGAGGCAGCCAGGGTGAGCAGGGCCTGCAGTGGCTCCCTGGGGACTGGGAGCACAAAAGCAGGCAGACAAGTGCTGGTGTCAGGGTGATGGCAGCAGGTGCTGACCTGGGCATCACATCATGCTCAAAAGAGAGAAGCAAATGCTGTTTTTTCCCTCTGCTTGTGTCTGTCCTTGTAATACTGAAACGTCAGCAAAATCTCATTATGTGCTGTGCTCTCTCTGACACCTTGGTTTCTGCATAGAAATGTACGTTTTGCAAAAGTTACTGTTTTTCTAAAGGGCTTTCTGACCCTATAACATTATAAATTGGAGAGCTCCTGTTGGATTGGGAGCCATCCACAGCAGAAAGGAGAATAGTATGGTGGTTTTAACTCTTGCTGTGCAGATGTGGTGCAGAACACATCTTGTGTATCCCAGTGATGAAAGGCTCTTCGTGCTCATTTGTTACATTTGCACGCAAAGATGTCAAATTATTTCGAGCTTTGAATAATTTAGCAGAGGGAGAAATCCAAGGCTTTGTTGTGTTCAGTAACCTGCTAGGAGTCCTAACAGATGACCAGCACCTTTTAAGGTGTGCATGAGTGAGATTTGCTTTACTGTCCGTGATCTTGGATAAGCACAGCCCTCTTATATTATTCCTAATGATTCAGCTTTGATTCCATGCCCACATGGCATGCAGGTTCTTGCCATACAGTAGTCTGGACCTAAATTAACAGGAGACTTTTCCAGATCAGTTGCACCAAGGGCACTGCTCTTCTCTTTTCCTCCCTTCCCCCATGAAGGAGTGGGAGGAGGCACAGAATGGATGAACAGCCGCCAGATGGCTTATTGGTAGCAGAAGCATTTATATCCTAGGAAATCTTCAGCTGCATTCAGGCGTAGAAGCGATTTCTGGTGACAAGTCTGCTCAGGTTGCATCTTAAAGACTGTAGTAGGACTAGCTATCTCAAATGTTTGTTTGTGCCTTATTGTTTGATTCTTTGGTTACTTCAAGCAAAAATATGGTTCTTGCCATTTCACTGTGAGGTGCCTGACATCCTCTGTGCCCCTGTTTGGGTGGGAAGTGAGATTCTTCATGTGGCATTTAGTATGTAGGTCCACAGAACGGAATGGCACCTGTCATGTGATCTGAGTCCCTGTGTGCGGTTTGCAGCCTTCAAGGAATGATAATGTGTTCCTGTGTGGGCGGAGGAAGAGCAGCAAAGAGATTCTGACCCTCAGATGAAAGACCTAGGAGAAGAGTAATAATGAGTGAAATCAGCGTGTCTCATGCTGTCTTCCCTGTGGGGGCTGAACTGAGCTTGGAATATGCTCCCAGGCTTTCTTTTGGAGCTTGAGGCCATTGCTGTCAAAACCCAGGGTGGTATCACATCATATTCAGTACAGCTGGAAGAGAAGCATTGCTTTGGTACAGCTGCTGAGAGGTTGGAGAACTCATTCGAGAGAGTCTGAGTTCTGCTTCTATTTCAGTATGAGAGCTTTCAGACTCATCCACTGGACGTTCTGTGTATTTTAAGGGGTTGCTCTTAATCCTGTTGAAGTTGGTCCTCTGCACTCATGGTGCCATGCAGAATTAAAAATTAAGTTGCATGTACAAAATAAGAACAGATGGCAGCTAGTCTCAGGTGTAGGACACCTGCTTAAAGGTGCTAAGAGGAATGCAACAGTCGTATCCTTAACTGTGTATATGTATGAATTTTTCTCTCCCATCACAGTGAGTGCACACCATGTTGGCCTTACCCTTGCACTTACTTAATGTACTTCTCTGTCCTAGAGAAGAGGCCGTGTCTGCTGCACGGGGTAGAAGTCACAATGTGAAGATTCCAGATCCTGTTCTAACACTATTCTTGCATGTTTCAAGCCATTTGCTTCAAGTCCATTGTAAATGCTAGACTGAAACCTGAGGTCAGTGAGTCATGCCAGTATGAGTTCCTGTTTTACTGTTACTGCTACACACACTCCATTCATTTTTCCATCTTAAACTCCCTGTGTTGTGCACAACAGTGTCCTCTGTTGTATGGGTGCTTTTTTTGAGAACACTGCCAGTAGATTATATCTGTATTCAGAGAGCATTGTTTTGGAATATTTAACTTTGTTACCAGAGAGACTCCTGTCAAATAGATGGCAGGATAGTGACCTCTCATACACAAAATGGTATTTATTAGTTATTCTAAAAAAGTCATATGTATCTGGCTATTAAATTTGCATTAATTAAGTAAAACAACTGGTTGCTGAGCACTGCATTCAGCAATCCCATCACCAGCCATTCAAGTACGTGGTTGTCCTTAACATTTGGCAGGAAGGAGTAGGAGAGGATTGGATATTACTCTGCAAAAAGCAAACTTCCACTTCCCTTGCTGCAAGTTGAGCATCTATCCTGCCTGTTCCTTTCTTGGTGGACACGGCAGACAGATGCTCACTGCTGCTGTCGTGTTCTCCCTGGCTTTTCTCTTTCTCTACTTGAGGTAGAGAAAGAGAATTCTTTTAGTCATTCCTCTCAAGATTTCTAGAACTCATACAACTCTTCTTGCTCTCTGCTGGACTCTCAAGCTTGCCTTGAGCTTTTGTTAAGAATTCTATTTCGAACTGGGCATGCTATTCTGTCTCATTAAGGCTGAGTGCAGCAGGTCATCATCTTTTCTGTCTACACTTGAATTTTACAGTTGATGAAGATTTTTAAAAAGATTAGATTTTTTTTTTTCTTTTCTTTTTTCTTTTTTTTTTCCATTTACTGGCAGTAGATCCACTCTGCTGACTGGTATTCTCTTTGTGATTTACTGTGGCATGATATCATTGCCTGCAGTACAACTACCTTTCTCACATAGCTCTCATTTTCTATTTTTACACTAGATTTTCCTTTTAGCAGTATAGTGCTTCTCACACTGCTTTCCCAGTTTGGGAAAATCATGTTGAGTTTTGGACACATCTTACAAAATGTATGCAATGCCCATCCAGGTTAGAAATGTCCCTGGGTTTTTCTCATTAGCCATTCTGTTGTCCAACTCAATGACAACATGGAATAGTAAATATGAATTAATAGTAATTGCAGATCCCTGCATAGATCGACTCAGTAGTTCTTCTGGCTATTGTGGATAGCACAATGCTGAAAAATTTGAGGGAATTCTGCTGTAGATCTGTCTTTGAGGAGGGACAGGAATCAAGCAAGTCTTAATCTGAACCAAGCTGAAAGTCATAGATTGGTACATAGACCAAGCTCAGTGCCACTGTGTAAGCTGGCTCAGTGGTGGAGTTGGTTCTCACTAATATTGCCATGCTAACTGTGAAGGAAATGATGACAAATGGAAGATATCTTTTTGCTTAGTTGGAGGAACCCAAATGAGGTCACATTTAGGGTGTGTACAAAGGAGAACTTTTCCTGAAGAGCTGGAAAAATCTAAGGAAATTTATAGATTTTCAGCAAAATATTTAACTGCAAATAAATTTCACTTTATTTATTTTATTAATTTTAATGAGTTTGCTTATCTAATTATAGTTATGTCTTTGCTAAGCATATTCTTTAGAAAAATGCTGTGTCTTGCTTTCTGATGGATTTTGACATAAGGCACTTAGGAAGCCACATCTTTCAGTTTGTGATTATAATGGTTTTGATGGTATTTTCATAGATATGTACTCCTAAATATTAAGTTTTGAGGAGCTTGTTCCAAATGAAAAATTATCAGAGAAGTAGTGAGCAAATAACTGATAAGTTGTTCTATTGCCATTATTAATACGGAGTTTTCAGCAATTTCTCTTTAGATTTTGAAAAACTACTGCATCCAAATACACCGTTTGTTCAAATGCAGGGTAAGATTGCTCTGTAAACTCAAGGTTATTTCATCATTGTTATCTGATTTTGAGTATGCAAAGAATTGCCTGGGTTCTGAGTTCCATTCAGTTTTTAGTTGTCACTGGATAGCGAGTGAAAATGTTTATTGCACCAATTTCTTCAGGAACAGCCTTTGTTCAGCATTTTATCTTCCTTCCCAAGCTTAGTACCTCTACTGTGGACTTCCCTGAGGTGGGCTATTTCCAAAGCTATTTACTGTTGACTTAATGCTGCTGTTGCATTCAGTCAAGTTTTTATAATCTGTGGGGAGTGTTTCAGAAACACTCATTTAATATGATCTTTTTTTTCTGCTTTTGATTTTCTTTTTAATGCTGTTTCTCTGATCTATGCTAGTAGCTAGCATCTGAAGGGCTTCCCATCTTCAGTATACTTATCTTATGAGCTCTCCCTGGAGGTAGAGATGTGCTTCTTATTTTGTAAATGAATGGCGAAGGCACAGAGAGACATATCCAAGGTCACGAATCTGTCCTGCTCCTTACCTTTCCTCCATGGTTGTCTCTCCCTGGTATATGGTTTGTCTTAAACTTGCAATGCAAAATAAATACTGTTCAAGAAGTTTTGAATACACTGACAACTTTAATGGAAGAATTTTTCTGTTCTTGCATCTTTTCCCCATTTGCCTTCAGATAGTTCAAGTTACAGAGCTACATTTTATATTTTTATTCTCGTATAGATCAAGTGATGCTCTGAAAATTTAATCCACCGAGTTCATTTACTTTTCCTTGTAGCAAACTGTAGATTGTCAACCAGATTCACAGTCATTCCCCTGGGAAGTTTACCTGGCTAAAAATACAGTGGTGGAATATTATTTTCAGAAACATTTATTTATGAAGCTTATAAATGGTCAGATTTTGTGTGTATTATTAGACCATTGGTACGTCTTGTAACAGGAAGCTACTGGTTTTCCATTCACCAAGAGCTGGAATTCAGTCAAGCGCTTGGCGTTTATGTGCCTCTAATTTTATCTGTAAATTGTTCTTTCTGAAATAGTTTGTGGAAACATCCTCAGTTTCTTCAGTTTTGTAAATCATGGGCGTGGAAATAAGTGCTAAAATTTACAATAAACAAGATATTTGTCAAAGTAAATAATTGAGAAAACAGTCACTTGTTATTTTAAAGCAGACTGAGATCCTATGTTTTGCTGTGATTTCACCTTTTTTTTTTTTTTTTTTTTTACCCTCTTGGAAAGTATTTTTAAGTGTGTTATCCTTGGATTATTTTTCATTTTACTTCTGAGTAATTTTAGAATTGGAAGCAATGTGTGGGAAAACAATAAATGAAAAGAAATCTAACCTCTGGATATCAAAACATGCATTTCCTAGGACTTCTACTCTTATGCTTGCTCAGCTTGGGACTGTAATTGCATCGTGTCTTGGTTTGAGTGGTCCCAGGCTGGGGCAGAGTCTTCTTGGAGAACTCTAGAGATGGTTCCTGTGTTTCTCCAACACTGAGCTGTACGCAGCCAGACTTCCTCATGGATTGCGTTTGATGGGCCAATGTGAACAGCTGAGGGATGTCCATGTGGATGACAAGGCTTTGTTATACTGTTACACTTGTGTAGATGAGTGCAATTATTTAGAAGTTATTTTTCCTTTTTTGAGCCGTGCCAACTGTTAGAAATTACAGGTAACTGCAGCGCTGGTAAGCTAGGTATTGGCTTTGTGTGCTGGCTTCAGAGAGTGCAAGGGATATCTTTTCACATTGTATCTATTTCAGCCATTCCTCAGATTTTGACGTTAATTACAAGGAAGTCATTTTGAATCAGCTGGTACAAGTGGTCTGGCAGATTGGCTTCCTCTGGCAGATAAAGCTATCAGGCATCATGTTGTACGTTCAGGGTGATAGATTCGTGTCATCTTTCAGAGACAGAAATCCTCCTTAGACAATGCAGCATGGCACAAAGCTGTATTTTCCATAAGAGCAGTATCTGTATGCTTGTCCATGGTAGAAAGGCCTGCAGCAGACGTGGGGAACATGTTAACATCTTCAGGAATCGGTTCAGAGCTTCTGTTATCGCTGGTGAAGGCAGTAATTAATGGATTAGTCTGTTAAGACAAAATTGATTCAGTTACAAAGTATTCTTCCTTTCAAAGAGTCTTACAGATGTTTAAGTCTTCAAAACTCATTTAAAAAACATCACATTACAAGGCTGAATATGTGTTATTCATGTGAAGCAGTAGCTTAGAAACGGGTTACTCTTTTTGCTCAATGACCATGGGTCAGTCTGCTTTTTAGAATGGGCACATGCCTTCCAGACTTGTCTGCAACTTTATTGGGATGGAGTATTTTGGGAAAGAGTATTTTCAGCATCACTGTATCTTGGAGCAAGGATCTAGTCACCCAGGGACAAGAGTGAGAGGAGCACTGCCAGGGCCTGTGTATTGCTAAGTCTGGGGATTCTGATGAATTTGCTTGAATTTACAAAACAAAACCACTTGCTACTTTTCAAGAGGGAAGAGCTGTGGTTGCCTAGGAGCCTGTTTCTAAGCAGTCAGAGACAAACTGACTCCATAGCAGTGAAAGGATTGCTTTTGGTAACCTTGAACAGGAAGCCCTTGGGGCTTGCTTGTAGATTTGGAACCATGTGGAATATTTGTTTTCCCATGATTAAATACATAGACTCCACATTGTTGCAAACTGAATCTGTTTGTTATAAGGAGTGGCAATATTTGAAAGAGGATCTCCTTGTGAGTGGACATGTCATGATGGAAGCCCCTGCCACAAGCAAAACTAACCCAGGGTTTTCTCTTCATTTTTCACTGTCATACCTGAGGTAGCACTGTGACCACGAAGACAAATTTGGTGGTGTAGTGTCTTTCTGCTTGTCTGTGGACGAGCTGCAGGAGGTGCCTGCAGCAGAGGGGAGCCCCTGGGGTCCCAAGCCTTCAACGGTCCCCAAGCCTTGGAGGGTCCCTCAGATGAAACTTAACCTCTTGGCCCCAGCCGGATGGGCGAGATGAGGTGCAGTCTTCTTCATTGTCTGCTGAGCCTTGGGATTCAGCTGAGACAGGGCCAGCATCAGGTTCTTATCCCTGTGCTACCAGCACTGTGGCAGCAGGCATGAGGGACTGCACTGGGGACAACTCCCACCCCAGTTCCTGCAGGCTGCTATGTCAGCAGCTGTGAGCTGATGGCATGTCATACCCTCTCTGTGTTTGTTAAGCAGCATGAAACACAGAGAGATGCGAAAGCTCAGTGTTTCTCTGGCAAGTAATTTAAGATTAGATATTTTTGTGGTGATTTTTAGCATTTTGTATAGACACATTTTCAACAAATGGAAGCTCTAGGCTAGGATTGTTGTGCCCATGCACATTTCTGTCACATAACAGTACCTGTGGCAGAAGGAGGCTCCTTCAAAGCAGCAGCTCATGAATAGCTGCAGATTCATTGCATGCCATTCACCTCCCTCTTCCTTTTTCTTCTGCTAGCAGCTGAAATGGCAGGGCTCAATTTGGCCAGTCCTTTGCATCATTTATAGCAGTGCTGTTAAATGCTGGGCTGAAATGGATGGTAGCTAAGCTAATTTGCATGATTTAAAATGCCAGCTCGGTTTAATGTAGAGCAGCTGGTATATGCTTAACTCCTTCAGGAGAAAACTTAATACCCACAGATCGCATTAACCAGGGCTACACTGCGTTTATTTATTTATTTTGCTGTTTCTTCCTGCTTTGTTTGCTAGGACATTTATAGGGATCTCTGCATTGCTCGGAAAGGGCTTTGCTCTTTATTGATATCTGTGCATCTCACGTTGCTCACAAAGGAAGGA